ATTCTATCTTTACTCTCCCACTCAGAAGTTTTTGTTAGTTAAACCTCTAAAGCTGGGCATACACTGTGCAATTTTTTTCAATTGTTGCATGCAGCTACAACTTTTGCTGTACAACGAAACCCTGCGGTTTTGCTGCACAGTGTGAGAACATACATTGTGAGCTGTGAACTCACACTGTGCAACAAAACCGCAGGGTTTCGTTGTACAGCAAAAGTTGTAGCTGCATGCAACAATTGAAAAAAATTGCACAGTGTATGCCCAGCTTTAGAGGTTTAACTAACAAAAACTTCTGAGTGGGAGAGTAAAGATAGAATGAAGCAGAATGAGGAATAGTGATCCATATGTCCTCCAGCAGTCTAAGCCTGTAGCAGCTTAGCTATACATAGCTCATTATAACCTCAGTCACTACAACTATAAGCTTTATCAAAAAAGACACTTTTAAGCCTAGTCCTAAAGTAGACAGGGTGTCTGCCTCACTGACTAAAAGTGGTAGTTGGCTCTACAGGAGAGGAGCCTGATAACTAAAACATCTACCTTCCACTCTAATGCACTACAGTACAACTAATGTCCCTCAGAACCACCCTAATTGGTAAAAAGAAATCCACTGTAGCTTAAGTTATTCCAATAGAAATACTGTTTGTTAGAGAGCAAGCTGCATCATTGAGGTCATACAGGTCAGGGATAAAGCTGAGAAGTTTAAAATAAGGTTATAAACCAATGTTATATGTTTTTTATGTAAAACAAAGCTCCAATGAGTTTGTCATATGAATATTGGAAGTACAACTAAAAACTAAGACATAGAAAGCCAGTTAAAAAGGAAGCTTTTTCTAGGAAATTTGTCATAGAAAGAGGAAAACAGCTGAGGAAGCCACAGAAATCCACAGCTCAGATAAAATAATCTGTTGGCAGGACAAATAAAAGTTAGATGCTTCAGAAACCTGGCTTTAACAGAAAAGTAACACGAAGAAGACAATGTTAGAAGAAAACTCGTAAAGTATTTTATTTTTAATTTATCACAAGCTTAGTAGAAGACTAACATTTGGCAGGTGAGAGCTAAGCTTGTTTTTGCTCTACTTCAAAGCATATATATATAGAGAGAAAAGAAAAACTAGCTTTGTTTACACTGTGCAATAATTGGCTGTGTTGAATGAACCTTTTTTTTCATGAAAGAAATCTCCCATCTTGAACTAAAATAGTGGCCGGGGGCCGTTCAGGGTGGCACCTAAACCTGCAATCAATTTAGCGTTTCCTAGACCAAAAAAAAATCACTCATAAATATGAATTGTGGAAAATGTTCTGGGAAAATTCTAGAGTGTGAGTGCTGCTGCAATCAACATCTAATTCTTTCCTCTTCTATGACATCAGTAGTTCTATTATGGCCTCCTTTCTCTTATTCTCCTTTCTATTTTTGCAGCATCCGTCTCTAATAATAATAACATGTAACTTTCAGTACATTTATTGATGGCCTGATGTGTTTGTCAGCTCTATTGGACACGTTTCTCTTACAGCAGCAAATCTTTCAGTTTGTCGTCCTCCATCGTACAGCGTGACAACTGTTATCAAAACATGGTTTAGTGTCTGCATGTGTAAACTGTTTAGGAATGGTCACCTAAAAGCATTGAAGCTCCAATTGCAGGAAAACATGGTTCTAGAAAAGCGTAAAACACTTTCACGCTTATGCTCCTTGTGTTCTCCTGCCATATAAAACTATAATGTGGTAGGTGAGAAAATGTAAAAAAGTTTGAGTAAAGTCTGAATTGAAACACAGCTGCTTCTTTAAAATTGAAAACACAAAAGCCTACAATGCTAGCTAATTTCATTCTGAATCAATTAATGCAGATCTTGGCTGCTAAATTAGATAACTGCTGTAAAGTTTTCCTTTTATTGTGTTTTTAGAATACAAGTAAAAACAAGGAAGACAACAAATGCGCTTTTAATCACTTTATTACAGTAGGTCTACCCATTCATTTGTAGTGTGTCATGTATCAAGAGACAAGTTTAGACTCTTAAACAGGAGATATCTTTGAGGTTTAGTTGGCATAATCTAACATTCATTCCTATTTTAATCCTACTCCCACCTGCCAGGCTGGTTCTCCCGTCTGTTAGCTCTTCGTCAAACTGCTCATTTCCTCCAGGCAGCATTTCTGTTCAACAAGGTAGCAGTTTGCCATACAGTCATTCTGTCACTATGCCAAACTTTATTTTAACAAGGACAAGGTGCTGCTGCAGTCGTACAGTCATGAAGACTCAGTCATCTTAGGCTGAGATGTTTTCGGAGGTGTTTTGTGAAATCCAGCTGCGCTCGAGGCAAACCCTGATTGACAATGGACTTCGGTAGCCACCCCTGTGGAAAAACAGAAAATAACTGTGTTTAGGCAAGTGCATAGGTTTTCTTAGAACCATCTAAGCTATACAATTTAAATCAGCTTTGCTCTACTGTAGATGGTAACCAACAATGGCCTAACAATATGCTCCTGTGCAGAAGGAATATGGACAAAGTAAAACAATAATATTGCATTATACTGTGCTTTGCAGACTTTAATATATTTTGTCAAGATCATATAAGAAAAAAGTTCAAAGTTTTTTTAAAAGGTGTTAACATAAAAGAGTTTAAAAAAAATATGATGTAAATTTTTCCATACTTCAGCTACCGCAGAGAGTATTGGTCTGTCTACCAGCTTTGCACATAAGACTGAACATTATTCCTCTTGGCAACAAGGATGATGTTAAATTGTGAATTCTAAACCATCTATAACACCCGTGGCTGTAGAGCAGAGGTCAGAGCCCTGTGTGAGATTCAGCCTTTATCTCAGTTTAATTGTTAAGCTGCCTTTTTCTTTCATGATTATTATCAGACATTTATCTCCATCTGTTTTTACATGACTTAGGAAATTTTTCCTTCCCTTAGTGAACAAAAACATCCCCACAGCTTGATGCTGCCACCATATTTCATCCTTGGGACGCTACACTTATAAGTTTTTATATTTCCTCACAAATAGCCCTTGCATACAGGAACAAAAGTTATTTTTCATTTTGGTGTCACTTGACCAGTCTTCAATGCATCTAAAACTGCTAACAGGATATCATAAAGCTCTCTTCAACTGGAGCTTTCTTGTTCCCCCTCTTCAATAGCGGTGCTCTGATAAATGGTCAAAGTTTTAATGACATTTGAATCTAAACCAGTTTTGCTCCTGGAGATGGAAAATAGACAGTAAGAGTATATACTGTACTTATGGGGGAAAAAAATAAGATCTGCCTCTTTAGTTTCCTAAAGCAGAGGGCCACCATTATGCAAGTTATCCCCAAATCATGCAGGCATTTTAAGAAAACAGTAGCACCTGACTGAGTATAGTCCTTAAACAACTAGTTAGTGCAATTCTTATAATCCAAATAAATTTAGAAATATACTTAGACAAAGTTTATTTCATTTTCATTTTGTACAGCTATCATGACATTTCTATTTCTTAAAGTGCAATAGTGATCAAATGTAAACGAACACTTACATACACCAGTTTGTATTTCTATCTACATTAAGACTTTACATCATTGTAGTTACTACCTTTAAGCCCAACCCTGGCATATACCTAAACCTTTAACAGAAAATTCCTAACCCTAATCTTAACCTACAGTTAATTCACACCATACCTCTAAACTGAATAACATTAGGACCAGCCTTTGGTCCCTACAAAAACTGTTGGTCCTCAAAAGGTTGGTAAATATATGCGGAAACTGTCCTAAATAGGTGACATAAAGAAGCATGCTAAAAGCTGCATAAATAAAGCCTCCTTATATAAAAGTATAGAAATATGAAAGTTTACCTTTACATCCATGTTAAGGAGCCATGTAAAGCTACATTTTGTTGTGTCCTCATCCAGTGCTTTAATAACGATGCAGGTTGGTCCATCCTCAGCTCTGCATCAGATAAAAAAAATAATTTAGCAAATCAACACAATGGAAGGACACTTGTGACAAATGTTCATATATTTTATTTTTCTTCTATATACTGCATTGTTTTAACCTTTGTGTATTAAGCAAACAGGCAAATAGTTACTTTAAGATCTTTTTTTAAAGACGTTGTGCAGCATCTATGTTGATTTATGTCCACATAAATTTGCTTCTTGTGACATTCTCTTAATCTCAGACACATTTTATCATAACCTTAAATAAATTACAGTTTACATAAGTATAATTATTGGAAAAAAGAAACAAGATTACACCAACCAAATAACACCATTACAGAATAACTCCTCCCAACACAAATAGTTTCTTTTTGTAATGCTTATTACAATTCTTACATTTCCCTTTTACATACTAAACTTAATAGTTAAAATCTCTAATAAAACACCCTTTTCAAACACTGACACTGATATAAAATGTATTATAATATGAGGTATTTTACCTGATCGACTCAAAAACACTTTAAAATTAGCATCAGAAAGAACATGCTTTAATTTGTTTTACAAAGAAACATAAACTATGCCATGGATTTGTATTTATTTAAATATGCTTTGATCTAACCAATGAGTATTAATATTTTAGGATGAACGCTCACCAAAGTCTCAACTGTTTTGGATCCTCTAAAAGGTTTTCCTCCAGAATCATGCCAGTGTTAACAATCTTTTCTGTGTGTTTAGGTGTTCATTCCCACCACATATTTAATGTAGAGCAAAAAATATTAAATCTGGTCTCATCTGAGCAAGCGGTCTTCAATATCTTAGCTTTTATGTAGGTATGTCAGTTTAAAAGAGAATGAAAAAAAAAATCTTTGAACTTTGGGAAAAGGACCTTTTAATTATACACAGCCTTGTGTGGTTTGATGGAAAATGGGAGGCGTTTAATGAACATGCATGCACTTGCATTGCACTGTATCTTTCACGTCTGCACATAATTTTAGGTCTATAAATTTGATTTTAACAGCAGATTTTTTTTTTTTCGTTGTTGTTGCAATCTCCTTACATTGCCAACTGAGAGGAAAAATATTCACCTATTAAACTTCTAATAGAGCTATTTAGAAAGCATCCACACTGCATAATTGGGGTTTTGAGTTTGGCTTGATTACAACATACCTCACAAATCTAGGCTGAGGCGGGAATGACTCCAGCTGAATTGCTGCTCCTCCGAGATAAACACAGGATTTTTGTTTGCAGCTGTGTCTGACGCTCAGGAAATCCCTTTGGCCAATCAGATTCCCTGTTGTCTCAGCTGAAACCTCATGAGTCACGATTGTTTCAGGTCCGGCTCGTTTTAGAACCTGCAACCAGACAAAAAAGGAATAAGAGCCACATAAAAATTTTGGAAACGTAAACTTTAACCTATCACACTCACATTACTCTAATGAAACATTAATATCAGTTGTCAGCAGAAATTAGCAGATCATTTGTAATCTCAGTAAAATAGATCATAATCTAAACCTATGTTTATTTTAGTAATTTCAATGAAAATGTGAAATGTTATGAAATTGTGTTGAAAACCCCTGACTTGAGTTGTGCAGCAGATAGTCAAGGACATCGTCATAAAAAAAAGGATAACCCATGCTGGTGGTTGGGAAGGTCATGGACTCAAGCTACAGTCGGTGCTTAAAATTTCAGTTTCAACCGTCATTGTCCTGTGTTGAGCCACTCCTGAGCACAAGGTGAGAATACCATTTTAACAGGACAAAGAAGAAAAAGGTTGTTGTTGACCCCCAAAAAAGTTTTTCTCTAAGGCCTGATCTTTAAAAGGTTGTTGAATATGTATTGACTTTATTTGGTCTTGGGAAGCAGATTTTTTTAAAAGGTGCAAAAGGATTTGCACATCAAATCAGCAGGTAGGCTCTGCAAACCTTTTTTATTTTTTTTTGCGTGCGTGCCATCATTTATATGCAGATCATATTCTAATGACCAAACCGCACAAATGTATAGCTGGGTGAAGTGTAAATATTAAAATTTACCATGTGCAAAGGAATTTGTCAAATATGACATTACTTTTTTTTTTTTTAGCTTGTTTGAAAATGTAATGCATACTCATACAGATTATTGAAGTCAATGTGACCACGAAGGAGATACTGGTTCAGTACTGGTACAGTACTGGAAGAATGCCTGAATAATATCAAGGGATAAAAAAAATCTTCTGAGGAGTAAAGTAAATATTAATGCAGTTTTATTAAGCACCTTGAGATACGCAACCAATGTGCAATAAATGATATTCAATATTTTCCTTATTATCATTTTTTAAATGATTATCATCATTATTGCCTCCAAATACATGGCTTAGAACCTTGTCTTTCTTTTAGGGGCACTCTTACTCTGTCTACTGGGGTCTGTTTTAACTTGACTAAACTTAAGTAGAACCTACAGTCTGCTCATTTCAATAGGGAAGAATTAAACCATTTGCACATCTTAACGTTTGCAGAAATTATCTCACAGCACACCTAAAGAAAACTGAAAATAATAATTGCATGTGCAATTTAGTTCCCTTTAAAATCTGTAAGGATAAGGTCATAATATGGTAGTCAAGGACCCAAATTGAAGAAGTTTGAGTGGAGAGACCCAAAATCCAACTTTTCTGGGGTCCAGTGTGATGTTTCATCTGATCTCGGCACGGTTTTAAAAGAGTAGTGTAAATGGGGCTTATGAAATACTATTAAAATGGACATAAAAGACACCAGATCCAACAATGCAGACTAACCGACAGCAGCTAATAAAGCAACCTGGGCTTCCATTACAGACCCACAGACTGTCCCTGAAGCCAATTAGCATTAGTGTAGAAACTCATGCAAAAGGAACTAGAAAAAGAATTCAGCACATGTACATTGATCAATATTTTTCTCTCAAGAAATCCTTCTCTATTCTAGCAAATATTAACATTTTATGACACAATGATTTTCATGACCTCTTAGCTTTAATAATCGTAATTCACAGATATAAATGCTTGATGTATAACAAACATATTGTGCAATGCACTGGTATAATTTCATTGATTTGAACTACAAATCAAATTGCAAGGAATAAGTTAACTTTTTCAGGACGATTTAATTAGCTGGAATGCAGCTGTTTACCAGCATGATAAAAAAAAAAAAAAACAGAAAATTCCAGCAAGTCTACTAAGTGGGAGATTTTATAAGTCTCAGCTCTGCAACTTATTAAAAATGCATTATGAACCGCAGAGTCCTTTAGTTATTTAATGATATTCAGCTCACTTTGATATGCTGCACGCTTGGGTTCCACTTGTGCATGTCTTCAACTCTGATAAACAGGAGGTCATAGAGATCATCCACGCTGGCTTCCAAAACTGCCTCGAGCCTGAAGACCTTCCCGGCCCCCGGTATCACTTTACTGCAAATGACGTCGCCATTGCTCTGAACAGGAAAAAAAAACATTCTATAAAAGTCCTTAAAGCACAGCTAACTTGATAAAGAGTGTCAAGGAGAATTGCATGCTTTGTATTTAGATTTTACCTCTTTGATCTCAACCCTCCATCCTTCTCTGTCCTCCAACATGTTTACCGCCTTCCTGAGTGCATCTTTGCCTTGTTGTATGTAAAACAGGTGATCTTCACTCACCGCCACTTCTGTTTTGGGCTCTGCAAGCAGCTTATGTAAGCCACAATTTACAGTTAATTTTTTTTGGATAGAAAAGAACTGTATTTAAATACCAGCAAGTTTCCCCAAGTGATGTTGGATGTGCGTCCAAGGCTTCATGTGTGAGATCTCCTGGCCTATCACTGCTACAGCTGTGCGCTGAAGCCCTGCACGTAGGAATAGGATTAAAAAAGATCTCAATTAGAAAACTGCACCTGAATTAAGCAAAGAAAGACTTTTTCTCTCTGATGTTTCTTTGTTTTACCTGTCATGCTCCTGAGATGTGGGTAGGATATTCCACAGCAGAGCTTCACGACCGCAGGCAGCATGTTGTCTGTCTTTGCAAGAGACAGCAAAGTATATTAGGAGTTGCTCCCATTTTTATATGGCTAATGAAGGACACTGCAAAGAGATAAGAGCAAGAGAGAGAAAAAAGGACATGTTCTGGATTCTATCCTGAAGGCCGTGCTTGACAAGTTCTTTTTTTTTTACCAAAACAGATGATTGACTTCAAGGTGGGAAGGAGAAACTGTTCTAAAGACACAATATGAACGGATTTATTGAGAAAAAATATTGATATTATAAAAAGAGTAGGTTCCTGAAAGTGATAGTCTTGAAATAAAATCAAATTAGCATTAGAAATGATTGAATGCTGCAATCACAGCAGCAACAAAATAAATGATTAATGCCATTATTTTTCATTAATATGCCTTCTTGATAGCTTAGCAAAAATTATGTATAATTTGGATATGCTGAGACACTGTGGTTTGTGTCTTACTGCTATTTGCAGAAACCAAACAGAATATTTTTTTGCTGAAAAAAAAAGTTTAGGAGTTGAAAACAGTTTGATATTATTTTAATGGAGCAAACTGGAGAATTTGTAAAAAGTCATGGATGGGGTATGAAGTTTCGGCTAAAAATGTTCCACAGTTTAAGTCACATTTTACATTTCAATACATTGTGTGAAACTATAAAAAAATAGGAAACAATTACCTTTTGGGATTAACACCATGACACCATTTAAATCCCATTTCTTCGTGTAAAAAGCCTGGTTAAGAGAGCATTAAGCACCATATGCTAAGGAGCAGCAAAGGTAAGATAATTCCTTACACACTTCACAATTCCAGCGTTGTCTTTTATGAAAAAAAAAAAGTGTCAATAAGAAGAATAAAAATTTTAAGGGAAACCAATAGCATATCTGAAATAGAATTTAACATTATCAATGAGACTAAAACTTAATTGTTTTACCTAAGCTGTGCAGCATCATGTCTGGGGAGGCTTTTCTTAAATCTTGAAATTTGACCTAATCAACAGAATAGCCCAGGGCACATGGTGTGATTGGGGAAGCTGCATAGATTCAAAACTCAAGCTTGGAGAAGACCTGGAGTCAAAAATCTGATCAAATCCATACAAAGCTATCTATAAATGTGTCCATTGAGTATGAACCTCCAGAGATCAGTCTCTAGTTTTTCTCAAATAATGGAAGGTGCACAGAAAGGTAGAAATGAAGCATAATATGAGCATTTGTTGGAATGTCAGAATCCAGTCCTTGAGGGATGGTGGCTGCACCTTAGAGATGCGTCTGCTCTAGCTGGCTTGCTCGGACTCTCTTGCAAGTCCAAGCAAGCCAGCTGCTCGATGCTCGTAGGAAAAATGTAAATGGCGCTGAACAATGGTGAATATAAGTGCAGTTAAATACAATGCAAGTATGTGAATAATAGTCCCGTCTGAAATAAATGAAAATAGATGCTTTTGATGGTTTTTGAATCAGACATGTGGCGGGTAATGTTTGGTTTATTGAAAGGTTTTTCTCTTTCCCTGTTCAAATGGGTTTGGCTGACATTGAAGCACTGATTCTAATATCTCTGGAGTGTGAGGACTATAAATCTGAGGCTCCTCGAAAATTAGCAACCAAAAGAGTAGTGAAAAGTTCAATATTCATTCTTTAACTGCTTTTTTTGTCAACTGTCACCATTGCTAGGCGACAGAGCATACAGTACGTGCGGTAAAAGTCGAAGAAGGCTGGACCTGTTTAATTCCATAGCTAAAACTCTTCCAGCCTCCTTATTTTCACTGACCTTGAAGGACCTGGTCCAGGTAGACTGGATAGTTGGAGGATGCTCTGAAATTCAGCTGAGGAGGTTATTAAGCCATTTGAATCAGGTGAGTTGTACCAAGATTCATGTGTTTCCCTTAAGGACTTGAGTTTGACATCCCCTGCTTATATAATATCTATAAAAAAAATGTATAGATGTAACTGTTTGCATTCATTTAATTTTTCTGCTACTGAAAAAAAGTCATTTGAATCCTTAAAAAAGTTTGAATGAGGACTTTGTTCCTGTGATTCTCTCAATTTCAGTTTTATTTATTTAGGTCATTTTCATCAACAGGAAACTAAACTCTTCTCTGCAATCAAGGCTAATATCCTACAAACTACAAAGAAATAGTCTAGATTCAGCTTCCTCTTCTCATACAGGAATAGAAATGATTCCATTCCTATAGTCAATCTTTCAGCATGCGTTACATTTGCAAAGTTTCTTCCTCCTGCTTGTGCATCTGTGTGTATTATTGCTGTATCTGTGAAAATATTTGATAAAGAGCCCAGTGCAGCCCTGTCGTCTCAATGCTGTCTTGCTGATTCGTTGCTCACAGAGCGCCAGAAACCAGCTCTCTCTTATCACCAAGAGCCAACAGGTGTCCTTGTTAGAAGGATTCCTGACGTAAATGATAAACTTCACCTGCTGACAAGGCAATGCGGGTATTAAATTTGTTTTTTATATACAAGGTTCATAACACATAAAAAATAAATCTAACTCAATAAAAACCGGAAAAAATTGACAGAATTCAGGTAAAAGGAACATCTCTACAGGATGATGACTCAGAACTATTAGAGGTAAAGTGGATTTGTGCTTCAGTAAAGACTAATGGTTAGTTTCCATGAATCACAATCTACTTCCATTATTTCTATGCAGTCCTATGTAGAAGTATTCATCTTTGTCTTCTTAAAAAAGAAGTGTTTTTCACTGAAATTTAACTGATAAAAGACCCAGTTTAAAAATGATGTCACTAGTTAAATCTAACCAAGGCCTATGAATGTGTACCCATGGCAGCATAGCCAATATAGGCTCAGATCTATCATATTAGAAAGGACCAAAGCTGAAAGTTGTGAAAAGCAATCTGACACCTTATAGCAAGACTGGAGCACAAGGCTTGTGGTGAATATTAAAAAAAAATCATTGGATGCTTCGGTGAAGAGAAAACCAGAGAGGGAGAGAGAGGAAAAATTTTTCAAATATTGGGAGACTCTGGAGACAAATAGTGGACAAATTTGAGATTTCCCCTGAAGCTGAGCTCCGTACCAGTTGAACCTCACATGTTTCTTCCTTTAAATCACCAGGGAAACCAACAGGAGCCTTGATTGAGGCTTTAAACTCCCAGAGTGACGCAACTGAGAGTTAATGTACCCAATCTATGCATAGAAATTGACATGAGATAACATGAATTCATATAGAGAACTCTCAGGTTGAGATTCTAAAGAGCATTAGATGAGGCCATATTAAAATCCTTCTTTAAACTTACAGAGAGCCCAACAAAGATTCGCTTTACTTGTTTTACATGTTTGAATCAAAGGAAAAACAGGCTTCAGTCCCACTTTTGTCTAATGTTGATCTCATTGTTCTCTAGGAGAAATAAAAAAGACGCTTTTGAGATTTCAGTCCCAGTTTTTGTTTTTTGGGTTCTGCACAGTACAGATAGCGTTTTCTACCCTGAGAGCTTCTCCCTTCTTTCTCCAAATACGAAAATAGTCATAATGCCTTAAAACTTCAATTTTAGTTCAATCAAGATAGCGCCTTTTTTCCAGCCCATTTGGAAATGTTAATGTAATTTTCAATGCGGTGTTAACTGATTTCTCATTGTGGGGACTTTCAGCCAAGATCAGAAAAGATTGTTTCACTATTAATTTTATAACTTTTTACCAGCTTCAGTCTGTATTTTTCCTATCTTTTTCCTTTATTTTGAGATTCCTTTGTAAGTTTGCACCAACCACATTCCTTTCCGGGACAAAGAACCCATCACCTCCCTGACCAGTTTAAAAGATATAGTTATTTGTCAAGTATACTCTATACTTTATCATGATTGTGCATCTGGAAATTGTACCCAGAGATGAGACATACTCATAAAGGTCCACAATTTCCTTCCTATATCTTGGTTAATTTATTTTTCATTTTTCTTATTATGTCACAGCCTAAAATATATTCACAAAGATCCCTTCATTTAACTCTAATGCAATAAATGAATGGAAAAGAAAATATCCAGTTTTAATGCCTTGCAGTACATATGAAGAGCTTTAGTCTATTTTAAATAAAAACTACACAGCTGGAGCAAGAAACAATGCCAACAGGCAGACTGACACTTGTTTTAATTTCTGATCTTTGTTATGTCATATGGGACTGTTTTTTGTTTCTGTATCTGTAGGATTCCCTTGTTGTGTCCCATCACACAGATGCCTCTCTCTTGTATTTTGGTTATGTGTGGGAACATATTTCCCTCCTCCTGCTCCACTGTCCTGACTGTTAACACAGTGAGGATATTTATTTAGTCTAAAACTACATTTAGGTGGGAGGTATGTGTGGAAAAAGCTGTCAAACTACACCCCATATCGTCCAGCGGTACAGTAATGAAATGATCGGGGTGGAAGAGTACTGCTTCTCTTCTAACTTGTTCACATTTTGCCCATTTACAACCGCAACCTTCACTGCATGTTACTTAGATTTTATGTAAAAGGGCATTGCAAAGTAGTGCATGTTTAAGACATGAAGGGAATAAATAATTAATGGCTTTAACATTTCTATTTTTACAAATGAGACTCTAAAAGATGTTGCATACAGTATATGTGCATTTTCTATGTTTGAAATAAAGTGAAACATTTTAAACTGTCTGAAGAAGATCTATTTAAGTTGTGATTTGGCACCAGCATGTCAGTTTACATTAAACTGTCAAGGAAGGTATGGAAAACTTTAATCAGAGAAGCATGACAGGCGTGTGTGTCAACTTCAACGGTGCAGCAGAGCACCACACCTCAGACCTCAACTGTTAATCGTGCGCTTCAGAAATCAGGTGCTTATTGAAAAGCAGCAAGAAAAAAAGTCAACGTTAAAGGAAAGTGACACACAATAAAAACTTGCATAAGCCATGTAAGGGACAAAGCAAACATAGAAAAGATAGAGGATTTTGGATTTTCTGCAAATTAGAAAATACCATAATTTCTATTAAATATGGTTATCTTCAGCTGGTAAAAATGCTTTGAGTAGATGGAAGAGTTGGAAAAAAGGGAAACTT